AATCCTCGCCCGATTATTTCCTCAGACGCAAAGTTACATACTTCATTTACCGAGATGCGACCGGTCTGCTACCGGATTTTATTTTAAGAGAGAGCCGCTCGACATTGGCGATTAGACACTTATAAAGCTCCTTTCTCCGTCTATTAATAAGCAAAGGCAACGGAAAGATATTGTGCGACATACCGACGACGTAAACTTTTGATTAGGAAGTTCCCGATTACGACTATAAGATTAGTATTTTTATTGGCTTAATATTATTATTATTATTACGGCTTATCACATTTTCCTTTAAAGACGGAAGGAAAAATTATGCCTCCTTCCTTCTGGAAAGATTCTAAATCCGCCATCGAATAAAACGTACAAGAGTAAATTTAACATTACCACGCACCACGAGCCTCTGACATGCATGATACGCGGATTTCTAGGTTGAAAAATCCCTCTCTCACCCTCTCGTGCTCAATCACCACGTTGAGGTAATCTCAGGGATCGGCTCGCCTCCGGAGTGTAGCAAAAAAATCTTTCACGTGCACGATGACGGTGACACCTCACAGCGGACGCGGACCGACCGCCCGTCAAACGCCACACGTGACGTCATACGGCTGCAATCGTATTTGACGTCACGCTTTTATTCCGTCTCGTGCACAACGCGATCGACGTCGACCGCCGTCCGACGGGTCTATAAACGGAACCCGTTAATGTTTCGCGGTCGCGTATGAAAATCGCCGGGTGGCGATTTAATGGCGTGTGAAATAATCCGCCGTTACGGTGGATAAATTATAACGGCATTACACGAATCGCTCGTAATCGATTCTTCGTTAACAATTGTCATCGTGCGACCGCGAGATCATTAATAATTCCTCCATGCGTGAATTTTACAGCTCCCTTTGGAGCGATGATAAATATAAAAATATTCGCCGACCGATGCTGCAAAAAGAGAACGCGATGGAAAATCGAGTAGAGAAGAGATGTATTCGAGGATTTTTCTCCGGGGGATGATATTTTTTCGATCGCGTACTGATTCGCCAATATATTAAGCTCGTATTACGAAACTTTAAGCCTTTCTATCCCGAATTAGGCCGTCTGCTTTTAACATCTTATAACTTACTTTTAATTAAAACGCTAATTAAAATTTAGCTTTTTGATTTTTCCTTACAATTATTTTGGAATTCAAAAACGATATAAAAATTCCTGTTAACAAAATTCATCAATCAAAATTTATTTTTGGAATTTGTCTTCACAGAGATATGAATAAAACATCGTGTAAAACCGCATTTCAAATATGTAACATCGATCTTTAGTAAAATTAATAGGAAAGTCTCGTTGATAGGAATTACATTAACGATAATTAAAAGCTATAACATTTAATGTAACCGTTCCATTTAGTCATATCATAATTATTTCATGCATGATACAAATATTATCGTTAAATATTACTATTTTTAATTTTCACTAATTAGTTAAATGCTTTAAGCGGTTTTCGATTATAGCAAAGATCGATACCACATATTTCATAATACCGTGTCCACTTCGATAATAATTAGTAATTAGTCCGCGATGATGTCATGAGATTAAAAATGCTCGTTTCAGAAGTGACTGATTAAATAATTGCATTCTTGCGGGGAGAAACGACAGAAATTGGAATTGTTAAATTCCTCTCATTTCTTCCGACGTGAAATGTTCTACGGAACGTTTTTCCTCTCCTCTCAACAGAACAGAATGGCTATTAAAGACAATCCATTCGGCCTTCCAGCTCTCGCGCCGTCGTCCCTGTTGCCTCGTTAACTTCCATTCTTTGTTCAATGCGCAGCCTCCCTCTGTGCCTGACGGATATTTAGTGCCGTGTTAATTACGCAAAACGCGCTACTGTACGCGTGCACGTTACGTAAAAGCACAATGTTTACCACCAAGACAAGATGACGCGTGCCCATGGCCGAGAGACGCGAGACGCGAGACGCAATCGGCAAGTTATGGAAGTTAGACGAAGCGATAAATCTGGAATCGAACCTTTCATGGGGATTAATCTTTCTCGTTCCCTCCCTTCCCGAGTTTCCCGAGGATTAAAGCGGAAAGTCTCGCCTACCCTCGCCCCGATAACGAGTCGCTCCTCTTGTCGCTCGAAATAAAGCTCGAAGATCAGTCTCAGGGTTCAGACGACGGGCTCTTATTTTTGACGCTGAATTTCCTTTGTGGATATTTGTTTTGCCTCGGGATATACGCGAACCCCGGCGTCAAAGCGCGAGGACATGCGATCACGAGATTTTCTTCTGGACTTAATTAAATTCTTCAGATACCGACTATCGTCGCAAATATTCCCAGAGTTGGCCATCTCGGCCAGAACTCGCTGGAATTCTGCCTTCGTTTCATCATTTTCTTTCTCCTTCAATCACGCTTTTTCAAGAGAATCTACGTGGCAAACGAGCGATTTAATCCCGCTGGCTATACTTTCAATTCCTATTTACCCCCCCCCCCACCCACACACACACACACACACACACACACACACACACAGA